AATTGAAAATTCAATAAAAATTCCGCAAGAGTTTTTTAACAACCTAATATTATAATTTTGACTTGACCCATCTTCGGCCGCTACATGAAATCACAGTAAATTTTTAATTTCCTTTCGAAGGGGTGGTTTTATGATCATAATCAAGAATAATTAAAAAAAAAAAATTTTTTTTTGACCAACCGTTTTCTTGATATGAACTGGTCGAAAAATCGGCCGCTGGCCAAAAACCAAGAAGTATGAAAAAATATGTTTTTTTTGTTTTATTTTCTTTAAATAAAATTTAATGATTTTAGTTCAAATTATTTGCTTTTATTTAAAAGATATGTATTTTTTTTATATAATACATGTATATTGTACATTGTATAGAACATTTAGTATGTAAATAAACGTTACACTTTTTGCAAGTAAAAATTGTATGTTTCTTGCATAACTTATAGCACCGAAATTTATTTTCAAGACTTCTCATGACTTCGTGTACCTTTTCGTTGATCCGAGAGAGGTTCGATGGATGTCCAGAGTCAACAAACAGTTTGTGACTTCAGATCGAAAATCAATTTGTGAAAGTGGTTTCGTCTTTTGAAAGTTTGCTAACATACAATGCAACTTCCATGCATTGACCATTACGTTACCAAGAGTATTAATCCATATTGGCCACCACCATTTTTTTCCTCGTATACATATCCGATAGTTGGCCACAGCATTGTCATGAAGATCCACTCCACCCATACTGTGGTATATTCTTGTATTACTTTGGGCTGTGGAATGGTGATGGTTTTCTTTTGTTTCCGACAATATGTTTTAGCATATACCATTGGTTCGGCTGTGGAGTTATTAGTAATAACATTGACGACAGCGTTATCGTTCCACCGTACAGTCAATATTTCTTGTTGACCATCGAGTAGCTGGTCAAATGCCCCGCTTTTCATTTTTTTAAATTCCTCAAGGGCGATTTTGCCATCATATTTTCACGTATAGTACCGGTTGCAAAAAATCGACACTCATTCAATAGGCACATAAGATGATAGGACGAAAAAAATCGAAGAAAAAAATCAAAGAAAATAATATGGCAGTCGGGGTCATTTACGTTAGCAAGCAAATCTAAACTGATATGCTCCTAGACTGATATTCTTATCGTGAGGGGTTGCTGCACCCCCATATAGTATACTAGAAAATAAATATCCACTTTCTGAACATAAGCACCACGACTTAAATCCAAAACGAATCGGTTTTCCTTTGATAAACATTTTGCATGAGTGTCGACCAAAGTATGGAATCATCTGTTCGTCTACGGAAAGAATATGGCTAAAAATTCCGAACTGCATAAATTTTATATTGAAAGCATCTATAAGCGAGCGAACTTTGGCAAAACGATCTACTGTATTTAAATCGATGTTATCAGCGAGATGTAAGAACCGCTTTATTATTTTAAACCGATTACGACTCAACGCTTGTTTTACAATTGGAATTCTCATGTCGGGCCGAACAGACCAATAATGGTCAATATGAGGCAAGGTGTGATACCCCGAAATGTACAAAATACCAATGAACCTACGTATTTCCACTGGCGTGACGTTAATGGCAGCATTGTATTGATTCGCATATTCGTTTGTGAAATGCGTTATCTCTGCAATTATTAATTTATCAAAATACAACGAGAAAATATCATACGGAGATTTAGAGCCTGCAAAAAAGTTAATTATGAATAAATACGTACATATATATGTATTTATATCAATTTATGCATATATAGAAATGGCAATTTAAACTAAATAGTTAAAAATAGTTAATCAATCAATTGCTTACCAATTTCAGAAAAAAATTCTTCCATTTTAAAAGCTTCGATGTTTATTGGCGTTCGGCTGTATTCAAAATTTCTGGGTTTTCGCCATACGGGGACAACAAAATTAGATTTCCTCTTAAATCCGCTGCTTATCATAACATTTCCATGTGCATTAGATGTTGATGGATTTTCGGTTCCGCTGAGTTCATTACCTACATCCTGAATGTTTTCTCCTTCCAATGAGTATTGTAGTTCAACATGACCAGCGATTTCATTTAAAAAATCATCATTGTTGTCATTCAGATTAATTCGGTCATCGTCCAGATCTTCTTCATCCGTCATACACTCCACATGAGGTGGTGGAATGTATACGACGTCGACATCTGTTGCATTCAATACAGCTTGATCCCCCTCGTCATCTGAAGATGGCTCATTTAAAACGGCATTATCTTCACCAAATGATTTTATTGTACTACGCAAGTTCGAAATCTTTCTTTTTGCAATAACAAAAGCAAACAGAATGAATTCGGGGAACTCCCTTTTCAAATTTTACGTTACGATAGTCAGATAGAGACAAATATATGAGACGAAAAGGTTACATGCGGACAGATGATGCCAGACTTAAAACGATAAAAGTTTAAAATCCGAAAAAACTAAAGCAAGGGCCATTAAATATTTGATATTTTGGAGATATATACTTGCCTTTTACTTAATAATAACAAAAATCATGCTTGAAAAAATTTTGTCCTACTTGACGATTTCTGGCCAGTGGTCGATTTTTCGACCACCAAAGGGTATGTAGTTTCAAAAGTTAAAAAACTAGTAATATTGAGTTTAGTTTCTTTTGATTGTTAAAAGTT